CCTTCTACTTATTTTGGGCTTTGTTTGCTGTACTTTTTCCAGTTCCCTTAGGTATAAAGTTAGACTGTTTGACATTTTTCTTGTTTCTCACTATGAATTTCCCTCTTAGGACTGCTTTCCCTGTGTCCCATAGATTTTTGGTCATTGTGTTGTCATTTTCATTTGTCTCAGGTATCTTTTGATTTCTTCTTTGGTCTCATTGTTGACCCATTCATTGTTTAATAGCACGCTATTTAGCCTTCAAGTGTTTGTGTGTTTTTCAGCTTTTTTTTTTGTAATTGATTTCTAGTTTCAGACCATTGTGTTTGGAGGAAATGCATTATATGATTTCAATCTTCTTATATTTATTGAGACTTGTTTTGTGGCCTAGCCTGTGGTCTATCTTGGAAAAATGTTCCCTGTGTACATGAAAAGAATGTATATTCTGCCTCTTTGGGATGAAATGCTCCAAAAAAATCAATTAAATCCATCTGGTCTAATGTGTAATTTAAGGCTGCTGTTTCCTTGTTTATTTTCTGTTTGGAAGATCTGTCCATTGATATCAATGGTATGTTAAAATACCCTGCTATGACTGTATTACTGTTAAATCTCTCCCTTTTTGTCCATCAATATTTATTATATATATTTTAGTGCTCTTATGTTACATGCATCAGTGTTTACAAGGGTTATATCTTCTTATATCATTATGAAATGTCCCTCTTTGTCTCTTATAATAGCCTTTGTTTTAAAGTCCATTTTGTCTGATATAATTATTGCTACTCCACCTTTTTTTCATTTCCATTTGCATGAAATATCTTTTTCCATCCCTTTACTTTCAGTCTGTATTTGTCTTTCGATCAGAAGTGGGTCTCTTATACACAACATATGTACGGCTCTTGTTTTCTTATCCATTCAGCTACCCTATGTCTTTTTATTGGAATTTTTAATCCATTTACATTTAAAGTGATTATTGATAAGTACATAGTTATTGCCATTTTATTATTCATATTTATGTTCTTTTTCCCCCCTTCTTCTCCTTATAGAAAGAAGTCCCTTTAACATTTCTTATAATACCTGTTTGGTGGTGATGGACTCCTTTAGCTTTTTCTTGCCTGGGATACATTATTCTTAATGTTTGCGTAGTATTCCAATAAATTGTCATCTTCAAAAGATGAGAAAATTTCTCATTAAACTTTATGATGTCCTTATATATCTTTATCATAAAATATTTGCCATATTTTTTAGACTCCTACTAGAAGACATAGTTCTATCAAAGAGCCAACAGTAAATAGGTTTGAAATGTACAATTCCTTGGCCTGGATCGCAATAAGAGCTGCTGCACAGGTTGGTGTGATCTTTACTTAATCTTTCTTTTTATTGTCACATGTGTATTCTCCACATACCAGCTGTTAATACAGCACAATGTATTTGTACCAGAAAAAGGGAAATTACAGATTCTTTTAGATTTGGGCCAATGATGTTTCTTTGGGAAGATCAGAAATATTCTTTATATATGTAGTATTTTTAATCTCTATTAGCCAGACCTAGCTTTGTTTGTTTTAACTTTTCTTTAATGAAAATATTGGCATATACAGAGGTGCCCATATTTGACTTTTGGTAAATATCTGTCATAGCTAGGTGAGGTAGCATATTTAAAGTGATTTATACATTAAAAAAATAAAGTGACTTATACATTAATTAAATTGTCAACAGTAACAATTTCTTTGACTATGATATATACTACATGTTGTGGATAACATGTTATTTTTGAGGTTGTCTTTATTTTTTCTTCCAGTATGTAGTGAATGTTATTTTATGAATTTGTTTTTCACATTATTTACCTAATGGGTAATCTCTGAATCAGAAAGATTACATTTATGAATTCTAATTATGCATTACTTTTAGGTCAGTGGAGCCGTGCTGGCAATTAACCTGCTTATCGGAAAGAAAAATGCTAGAACTGATAAAGTTAGTCAAGGGGCGTTACCTAACATTCCAGAATTTGCCACTGTGGATCTTTTGTCTTCTTACACAGATTATTTGCTTGGTATGTTTGAATGTCTAGGCGTTTTATAAAAACCTGATATATGTCATGTGTAATCAAGCTCAAAAAGCTTACTTGGAGTGATTTCTTGGATTTTAGCTTAGAGAAGATAATGGTTTGGGGACCCTCTGGGAGAGGATAGGGGTCTTAAGGCCTAGCTGCCAAAACAGAGGATTTGGACATATATATTTAGTGGGGGAGAGGGGGCTGGACAGAAACATTTAGACCAGAATGTAAAGGAAGTTGTAGAATCAGGAATCTGCCTGCAAAATAGGAAGTCTTCGCTCTAGCTGCACCCTCAAAAATCACACCACCTCTGCCAGAATGCACACCAGCAAAAGAGGTGCCTTGAATCCTGTCTCCCGCGCCCCTTAGCAGGGTTCCACCTTCCAAGTCCTGCACAAATGCACTGACTTTGTGATACCTAAATCCCATCCAGGGCCCTAGCCGCAAAGAAATATGGGAAACACGATTTTTATCTTTCTAACTTCTTCAATATAGGAAAGCAAATTTGGAGATTAGGATGGATATTGAGTGAACCAATCAGGTATATACTCATACACTCATACATTGACATTTTTTTCCCTTAAAAATGCAAATAATAGTATAACTGTATACACAACTATGCGCCTTGCTCATTTTTTTCTTTAACTTAATATAAATATATTTATTCGAAATTGTTTCAAATCAATGCATAACTTCTTTTTATTGTTGCATAATATTCCTTTATAGACTGCATCATATTTAAATTAGTCTCCCTTTGATAGATAGTTAGGTTGTTGCTACTCTTACTACTACTTAGAACTCTGAGATATATATATATATATATATATATATACATATATATATAATTTTGTATATAGGCTAGTATATCTATTGGGTCAATTCTCATAAGGGAAATTTCTGGATCAAAGGGCAGATATTTTTGCAATTTTGGTAAATTTTGCCAAATATTCCAAGTACTGGGAATATTCTGTTTGCTAAACTGGGTGGTGAGTACATGGGGATTCATATTATTATTCAAGAAAATATACACATGTCATTAACCATAGAATATCCTACTTATCTTCCCTTCCTTTCTCCCTAGAGGCAACCCCTACCCTGTCAAAAATTCTATATTTGTGTGTCTATACATAAATAATACAAAGTAGTGTATTGAGTTCTTTCAAATTTATACAAACAGTATTATACTCTATCTTCTGGAACCAGCTTGCTAACTCAGTGTGTGTTTTCAAGATCAATCCAGAACCATCCATATCATGCCCATTTTTAAACTGAGGAAATTAAGACTCAGAAAATCAGAAGCCTACAGAAGCTTAAGGCACAGAAAGGTTCAAGTTTTCACACTAATGAGTGGTACAGCTGGAATTTGAACCAAGACACTACGCTATCCTTTCTGCCTATGGATCTAATACATTTATTTTAAATGCCATCAAATGAATAGGCTTATTTTTCCAAGTTTCTATTTTTTTTTTAATTTTACAAACAACACTGCCATGAATATCTTGTGGGAAATTCCTGGTACACATATATAAGTATCTGCATTTTAAATTTTATTAGATCCTGCCAAATTGCTTCCCCAAGAGGTTATTCTCACAAGTAGTGTATGAAAATTCTGGTTTCTTCACATTATTACCAATAGTTCTCGTTTTTAGGTTTCAGTGTCTATCATTTCCTAAGGGAAGTGAAATGGTATTTGATTTTAATTTGCATTTCTCTGATTTTTAGTGATGCTGAAAATGTTGGCCATTTGGGTTTCCTTTTCTATGAGTTTCTGTTGGAATTCTTTGCCCACTTTTTTATTGGACTGTTTGACTTTTTCTTACTGATTTGTTATTCGTATTAGAGAAAAAACATTTCATATGTGTTTTAAATATCTTTTTTAAGTTTATGGTTTGTCTTTTAACTTAGCATTTGTCTTTTGTGATACGAAAAGATTAATCAAATGTAATCCCTGGTGTCAGCCTTTTCTTTATGAATTGGGCTTTTTTCACATATTGTTATTTTTTAAGAAAAGAATAATATTTGTATTAAAAACATTTTTTTTTGTTTTTTTTTACTTTCAGATAACTACCAAGTTGTTTTCCAGACTGGCTATACATTTTTTAATCAAAGTGATGATGTATCTGACAATACAGATGCTAGAAAAAAGACTCAGACTAAGGTGGATATTACATGGACTCTTCTGTTGCGCTACTATATTCACCTGCAGAGAATTAATAATATGAGCAAGCTTCTAGGTAGGTTTTTGATGGGTTAAAAAAATAACATATTCCTTTCCAGTTTCTATTTAAGTCATGTTTCTGATTTAGAATTATAAAATACTTTTGATACCTTTCTGGGTGAATTCTCATCAGATGAAAATTTCAAGGGTTCTTAAATTGAGACACTCGGACCTTTGCATAAATAGTATTTCAATGTAATTGATTTCCTTTGGCATTCTATATGTTTTATTTCATGTATTTAAACCATTATTATAGGGAGGCATCCAGAGGCTTCCCATGACTGCCAAGTTGACTCATGGTTTAAAACAATTAAGAACCAGAGTGATCACAATATGACAAGCTTATAAAATGAGCAAGATGAAATTTGGGCTTTAAGGAGAGAATTTTTTAGTATCCAGTATGTGAAAGAGACGAAATGCATGACTTCAGATAGGGTGTTCAACTCCATGGAGTTGTTTTGTTCTGTTAAGTTTTTTTGTTTTATCATCTAAAGAACATTCAGAAAGAATGGTATCATCTGCTTGACACCCGCCCCTTTGCGGTTTTGGGACGTATGTTATTGTGTTCAATCCGTGCTCATGAAATGGGTGATCCGGGGTTGCTCACCAGTGCTGCAGTCGGAAAAGACCGTTTGACCCATGCCAGGAGTGATGGAGAAGCCAGCAGGGCTGATAGGCTGAGCCACAGGGTGGCTGAGCACAGTTATCAGGAGTTAGCAGTGAGACAGCCCCGAGCACTCAGAGAGCGGTCGGGGGTCAAGGGTCAAGGTGCCTCATGAATGGTACACGGACAATGGAAGTTTAGTGGCAAAGGAAGTGGAAGTGAGCCAGTGCAGCAGACCCTGGCGATGCCCCGCTCCATACAAACTCAGCTCACCTCTGAATTCAGCTGCTGGCACTTCCCCTATCAAGGGCCCACATTTCACTGCTTTTCTGCCTGGGCTTCCTCGGAAGTTACTGAGGCTTGCCCAGCCCAAAGGAAGGACAGCCTGAGTGCCAGAATTCCACACACCCAGGAGTAACCTTCCACGAATGAGGTAGATTAATATTCCAGCTTTCCAGTCCCTTGGTGGGACAATTCTACATGTCCCTTCTTCAGAAGATCCCCCACAGCCCTGGGCCCCTCATTCTTCATAGCTGTGGCCCGTTCATTAACTCCCTCTCAGTGGCTCTTTTCTCTTCTCTGTCACACTTTGCCTGTTCTCTCACTTGGGTTCCTTGGACCACTTTTCAAATAAATTACCTGCACCTAAATTCTTGCTTTAAGATCTTTTGCGGGGAGAGCCTCAAGCAAGACAGCTAGATAGAACACTTTGCATTGTGAAGGCTTGGAACCTGAATTAATATCCTCACATGCTTCTGAGATTTTCTTTCCTTTCTGGGGCAAGAAGCAATTCTGTTAGTGTATACAAGCGCTTAAAATGTTGGAAAGTCATTGGCAGCCACTACCGGAGATGGGGATATACAGGTTAGTGGTTAGTGGGCAAAAGCGAATAATATTGAGAACGTTCTGTTGTCTAGCATGACTCTAAATTAAGGTATTTTTCTTCCTGAAGCATCTCCAAAGCCAGGTTCTGGAATTTCTTTGCCAGATGATACACTTCTCACGTCCCTTTTTAACTCTGGATTGATTTTGCGCCAAAAAGAAATGCATGTTTTCCTTAAAAGATTCTTACAGCTGTATTGTTCCTCCTGTATTGATGAATTTCCAAGAGAACTATTGCAAGGATTAGAAAATCCACCTTTTTCAGAAAAAGTCTTGCATGACTCGTCAGCCAAGGTAATGTTTAGAAATATTATGTATTTTTGTAAAACTTCTTAATATCATCCTCATATTTCTGAAGGGAGCACACTAGCCTCAAAACTGGCATGAAGATTTCTAATGCCCTCAGAGTTCCTGGGGAGGCTCATTTTTGTTTTGTCATGTAGAGAAGTCAGCCAGACATCCTGGATTTCTAGGAAAACTCACATTTCAAGTGTTTTGTTTTGCTGTTCTCATACATCTTCAGACTGTCTCAGAACTTTCTGTATTCCTGAACTTAACATCTCTCAGGCAGTCATTTTGCCAAGAAGTTATACAAATTTCAATATAATAACTGTAGAATAAAACTGGACTGAAAGTTTCTAAATCTGTGCTGAATTTCTTTGTTTTAAATATGTAATAAAAATCATTCATTGTATTTTTTACAATTGTGAGTGTAAATAAACAGGGTAAAATGTTTAAATAAGTTAAAAGTTTGAAGGTTTGTTGTTGTTTGAAAAGTGTTATTAAATTAGATGGACTTTCTCAAAATATGTAATGTGGAAACTTCTTTTAAGTTACCTGCTGAAGAGAAAAAGAGGAATATAAATGAAATTTTATCATTTAAAAAAATATACTAGGATCTTGAGTAATAGTAATTTTCCAATAAACTACCAGAATATATGAACTGGATATTGCAAAAAAGTAAAGGGTTTTATTAAAAATAGGTATGTATATTTGAAACATGGTATATTCAACAAACTTGTTGAAAATTAACAATATGCCAGACACTCTTAGTTAGTGGAGAAAGAGGGGATGGAAAAGGCCTAGTCATTATACACAGTTTTGATTGGTAGTGGAGAAGCACTGGTAGAGTTAGAAGAGAAGAAAATTACAGAAACTCAAGAGATGTTTTCTAAGACAAAATGGAAGGGTTAGTAGCAGATGGAATGCAAAGATTAACCTATATTAATTATATTGTCAGTGGTGGGTAGGGCTGATTGGCAAAGGATAGGTGAAAGGGAGTTATCCAAAAGAAAGATGGTGAAGTAGTGAAGTTTATGATCATAGGAGTGGGAAGGAAAGGATGGATGTAAAAGATATTAAGTAAAATTGAAAACAAAACGACTTAGTGACCCTTTGGAGACAGAAAGTGAAGTGGACGAAATGGTCAAAGTCTCTTCCACCATTTGGAACCTGTCTGTGATCATGGAGCATGGTAACACCATTAGCAGAGATAGTGGAGGCAGAAGGATGAGAACTTTGGTGGGGAAGGCTGGTGTATTCTGCTCTGTAGATGCAGAGTTTGAGATTCTAGAGGACTTAGTATATTATAACTCTTCAATATGTGTTTGTGAAATGAATGAATCAAGTCATTTGCATAGAATTCTTTCAAACCCAGGAAAAACAATCACTCATTTATTTTCAATTATTTTGACTCTGGACCTCACTGCACCATATAATGCTTTAATTTTTATAACTACAGATTGCCTATATCAGGTCCATGTTTCTATCTTCAGCGGTCTCAGACAAGTGACCCCAAAATGTACCTTGTTCCAAATTGAGAAACTTTGCTCATCTTATCCTACTAGAAAATAGTAACCTTATGTTTTGAGTAGATAATAATTTTTTTTTAAATCACTGTTTTGAACAAGAGAGCAAAGTGACTGTTAATAAATTGTGATTTTAAAAAGAAGTAGAAAGACCCACTAAGGAATATTTAAGAATTCAGTTAAAGAAGTGATTGTGCGTTGGGGTTATGGAGTTGCCCCCAGGGCAGTGTATTAGAATCCACACAGGAGGATTTTTCAAATTAATTTCAGATACTGGGGTACTGGGATGCTCAATACTGAACACTACCATTTTCTGCCCAAATTGTAAATCATTTGAGAATTAAAAGAGTAAGACAGATTGGGATTTAAAAATACTCACTTTTATGGGTCATAAAGTTAATATTTTAGTGTATGGTTTATATTGACTGGTAAAGGGCCTTCCTATCAGTAAATAGCAAAGTAGACAGATTTACCAATACAGCCATGTGTTTTTTCTATTTTGTTTTTTTGGTCATTACAGGTCTCCTAAAAATCTGTGCGTCACAGTCCTCTTTAAAATTTGTCACATGAAGGAGTATAGAATACTCACTCCCTACAAATAATTTGCTCCTAGGATGTAAGAGCAGAACTGTGCATATCCAAAACTCTTTTCCCCAAATTCACCAATCAAGTACCTCTCTCCCAGGGAGAGGAAGGGGAGGAGGTGGAAAGGCCAGGAGTGTAATGTTAATGTCTGGCCCTCCCTGGGGAAGGAAACATCAGATAGTGGGATGAAATCATTTCCATCTAAGGCCAAATTCTGATTCCTCCTCCTGGACACTGAGACTGCCTTTGAGGATTACTGCCATGTGTCCCAGATGCCCTAGGTGTTGTGGAGTACAGGGCAGAGAATGGGAACATTGGGAATTATAGTTTTAATGGATATATCTGTGTGAATATTTTATAAGAAACCTTATGTGTGATTTCTTAAAAATTGTTCTGAAAGGAGTCCTGTTGAGTGTTTTAGCATTAAGGGCAATCCAGTTCTCAGGATGAGGCTCCAAATACACAACCTTGAATACACTGTAAATACATGTGACATTTCTTATGGCAGCAATGTTATCAAAGAGTTGTTACACTCTGTTTGCTCTTTTTTTAAAAAAATATGTAATTAGTGTTACACTATCCCAGGATAATCGGCTCTGGAGATCACTGTTGCTTGCCTGACAGGTGCAAGCCACCCGATCATGTGTTCGTTTCACTGGGGTAGACAGCTAACAAGCATAAAGCCTTTTGGATTTTTTTTTTTTAATAAACTCCAAGCTTGGCTGATTTTTATAATAACATTTTTGAGCCTTTAATCACTCAGGAGGCTATTTCAATCAAACTCTTTCCATAATTTGATACTTAAACGTGCTTTTCTCCCACAAAGAAGTCGGTGCCTTTCCAGAACAATCATTTCTGTGGGTCGTGCTCATCAGTTTTGTGAGCCTGCATGTTGTCAGGTCTCTGGAAGCTTTGTGATGGACAAAGATGCTGGGCAAATTACATTAAAAATTCCAAGAATAGAGAGGATATGATTAAAATTGTGCCTAATGCTGAGTTATTCACGTTTAGACAGTGTGCCTGTGACAGCCTGTGTAAGGTGAAATATTTGACTGGTACAAACTGATTTGTTGTCTGTGGGACTGTGGGGAACAGGAGTTCTCCTGGAAGGTCTGCTGTTTCATTCCTTTCAAGGAATTAATCCAACATATCAAAAGTACTCAGTGTATATCCCATCAATTAGCATACTTAATTAATCTCATCAGCAACTAGATACCATGTTATTTTAAAGATAATAGAAAATGAAATGCCTATTTTGATATTGACATTTGTTACTATTTACCCTTATTAGACCATCATGCTAATAAACACTGTATATATTGAAGAGAAAAATACTTATGTTATTTTTCTCCACGTAGCTAGTTATTAAACATGAATTCTTTGCTAAAATAGTTGTCAAACTCTTGAAAGACACTCAGATCTGAAAAAATATATATGAGAATTTATTTTTGTGAATCAATAATTACCTGATTTTTTGGTGAACTGCCTGACATAGAATTAATCTTAATTAAGCACTTTAAAATAATTATTTAACCCTAATAATCTTGCTTATTGTGCATTTTGGTCATGGTTTTGGTATCATAGTACTAATAAGTGAGGATTCTGGGTTATCACACTCTTTTATGATAGTCTCTAGACATTTTTGAAAGGTTTTCACGCTTAATATTACCTTTCAGTCAAAACATATTTTTTCTTTTATCAGTAGATAACTTGAAAGGTCAATGTCTTTATTTCTCTTTTTATTTTATTTTGAAGACTTGCATTAGCGATCTTATATCTTGAATAGGCTCAGAAATAATGGGAGGAACAAAGCCTTATAGAAACACCAGGCATTTCATTCTGGCCACTGACACATTCCCTTGGTCATCAAACCTTCAGAGACCTTAGATNTGTAATTTTGATGTCACATTTTACATGCCCTTTCATTTTCTTATAGGTTTTATTGTTGTATGCATATAACACGAAGCCCCTGAAGGTTTCTGATGTTAAAAATATCACCTACAGCAATGCATGTGTTGGCTGTTTCTGGGTTCCACTGAACAGGCAAGTAAAGATGGATTATCTACTACTCCAACCCTCACTGTTGATATTTTCATAAAAACAAGCTGTTTCAGTAATATACAAGGTAACACTTAGAAGATATTTTTAGAAAAAAAAAATCTCCCTTTTCCTGAGGGCAGCATGACACTGCAGTGGTTAAGAGCACACATTCTGAGTCCAGCCTGCTTTGGCTCAAATGCCAGGTGTGCCCCTCACTACCTTCACAGTCTTGATCAGGTTACTGTGTATCGATCGCTTCAGTAAAATGGGAAAATAATAACAGTAGTACTTACAGTTGTTAGAGGAACAGTTCCTGGCACTTTATGAAGTTTATAGAGAGTAGAAGATATTGTCTGTACTATATTTTGTCTAAAATTTTGTGTGTGTTTAAAAATTAATGTGGCTCTGAGTTGAGGTGCACAATTAGGCCCAGACTTCACCATATTCCTTGTCTTCCTCTTTTCTCTTAGCCAATACTATTTTGTATTGTTCCCTAGTCAAAAGTCTCTGCTTCAGCTAGGTTGCTTTCCTCCAGCAAACAGGGCATAGCTCCAACTTTTGCTCATGCCTGGTTTCTCTCTCTTCCTGTTTCACTTTACCAAACGCCTTGTTTATTTTTTTATTTTTTTTTTTATTGCTTAGTTAATTTAGTTTTAACTCCATTGTTCATTGCTCTTATGACTTCAGCCTCCATTTCTTTGGTTGCGACATGGAAATAATACCTATTCTGCCTCCTTTCAGGGTTATTGTGAGGATCGAGCCAGACAATGTATGCACATGTTTGAAAGGCTGAAGGGCTGGGCAAATGTCAAGTCTCATTACGAACTTCTTACCAGCTCTCCTGTCTGTCAGTGGCAGCTCTCTGCCCTGCTAGGCACCTAGTAAGTGCTCAGGGAACAGAGACTTGGCNACATTGAAAACAACATTTACTCATTTCCACTATTACTGTTGAAAGTCAAACTGTTCTTGCTTTAAAAGTATTCTGGTTTCTTTCATTAGTTGCTATTGAGATTTTTCTCTTTATATTTGCACAATTTTGCTGGGAATGGTTTTCTTTTTTTTATTTTGCTTACACAAGTGTAGTGGTTTACAACATAGAATCTAGAGTCAAACTGCCTGGGTTTAAATCCCAGCCCTGTGATTTAATAATTTGTGATCTTGAGTATATTAGTTAACTTTTCTATATCATGGTTACCCTCACCTGTAATTTGAGATAACTGTGTAAACACCTAAATTCAATAAATAGTAGTTGTCATTTATTATCTGAAATTATTTTTAAATTATTATGCTGTTTTAAAGTTCAATAACTACAAATATACATGTAATACACTTGATAAACATTATTTAAAAGCATCTTTTAAAGTTTAGCAACAGTATCTCCATATAGATTCTTTAGCTGCCTACATTGTGCAGAAAAGAGAGTAAACTGTGCCTAAGCAGAAAAATTAAAGTGCACAGCAAATTGGAGGAAAAAAAACTTATTTTGTCTCTAAATGATGCTTACAATTTTGTATCACATATATAACTCCTCATTTTAATGTTCTTTATCTAACTCTATATCTTTATCCATACCTATGTCCATATACATGGATAGACATTTGCAACAGCTAAAATTGGGGGCAGGAGGAGACACAGGCAAGTATTTGGGAGCAGTTCAATATCAGTCCCTAAACTCTTGGAGATTGAACAGTGATTCAGATTCTAGGAGAGTCTTGAAGAGGAGTCAAGCTTTTAAAAATGGAACAGTTGGTCGCTATCACCTTTTACAGAGGAACCTTCTGCTATAGATTTTCTTTGATTGCTTCTCTCTCTAAGAAGAGCCCCAGGCTTTTTCCCATAAAAAGTTTGCTGTCGAGTTTTGCCCTGTTTAGCATTTTCATTTGCTTTTTGTCTCCTGCACTGGCCTAGTCCTGCACATCCTGGCTCTTGAGTGCTGTCCCCTCGAGCTGTGCCTCTGGTAGCTTCTGCTGTTCCTTGACTCCTAAAACCCTGTTAGATAGTGAACCCTCCTGGGCTTACTACCTCTCTTTGCCCTCCTCCTCCCATTGGCCTCCTCCTCATGCCTCCTTAGGCTGGCAATCCTGCTAACTCTTGGGGAATCACATATCTCTTCCTACTCACACGAAAAGAGAAACTTGAACATATCACTCTCCAGAAACATTTAAAGATATTTCTTACATTTTGAAAGTACTTTCCTTCCCACCCTCAAGTCAGACCCTTGCCAGACATTCCACATACGTTTTGAAATATTAAATCTATTTTGAGGAACTTTGTGCAGTCGTTTTCAAAATGTGGTTCCAATAATACTCACAAGTCGTGGAGTCAATACAGTGGGCGATGAGCAGTATTTCTGTAAAGAAATTAAATACAAGAAGTGATCCTAGATGGAGTGTCTAAAATGCAAGAGGAAGTAAACATATTTGATTGAATCAAATACAGCAAGTGAAAATGTTTTCTGAAACTTTTATTTCATGATAGATATGTGAAAAAAGAAAATGTCTGACATTGTTCATCAGCATGTCAGAATTTATTTACTTGCTGGCAAGAGAACCAACAAAGTGATAAAAGAGTATATCACTCAGAAAGTGTATGAAAAGGGAAAGATTACATAGTTGGGAAACAGAATGTTTACCTAAGCAGCTAGTTTTTAAAAAAAAATAAGGAAAAATTATAAAACATGAAGTTCATTTCACAAGGTTATAGAAATATCACATCCATATCAGTTTCGGTCAGGATGAACTGAGAAGTTAATGCTAAGACTACATCTGTGACTGATAATTAGAATAACAAGGCTTTACCCATCAGGGTCGTGTCTGACAATTAATATGGAAGCATGAACTGGTGTCAGAGATTAGAAGCAGAGCACCAACTAACAAATTCTGATTTATACATGTTGCTTGAGTGATTTTCTTAAGCCACAAGCAAGGATGTAGAACACACAGTTTTCCCATTTCTTAGTTTGTGGACTTTTTCCCCCTTTGACAATAAGTGTATATGTACTTGATCATGATAAAAGATGTAGTTGCTGCCATAAATCTCAGTAAAAAANTGTCTCAATATAATGCTCATGATTCTTTTTTTATTTTCAATTACAGTTGACATTCAATATTATATTAGTTTGAGGTGTACAGCATAGTGGTTAGACATTTATGTAATTTACAAAGATCCCCCCATTTAGTCTGGTATCCACCTGGCACTGCACACAGTTGTTTAATTGACTATATTCCTTATGCTGTACTTTACATCCCCATGACTATTTTGTAACTACCAATTTGTACTTCTTAATCCCTTCACCTTTTTCACCCAGCTCCCCAACCCCCCCTCCCATCTGGCAACTATCATTTTGTTCAAGAAGTTAATTTTGAATATAGTTTGCACTTTCTTGAATAAGATCCTTTTTAGACTTGAGATGTTATTATCACTATTATTATTTCTTTGGCTAGGTTTATTTTATTGCTATCAATCATGCTTTGCCTTCTTACCTACCTTAAAAAACTAAGTAAATAATTTATGAAATCGCTACACATTTATGATTCTTGAAAACTCCTGATTCAGGGACAAAGCTCCATCAGAGAATCTGGGCACAGATTCACCAAGACTGAACTTACAAATCAGTCACATTCATTTAAAAAGGGAATGATATAATAACAATGGATTTTAATCTTTTAGAGCAAAAACCATGTCTTATTTTGTATCTGGAACTGAAAAAAAATGCTATTGGAAAATAAATAATACAGTGTAACCACATCCTCAGTAGATTTACCAGTGAATAAATCAGAAAAAAGTAGATGTTCTTAGAATCCGTGGTGACCTTGAAACTGAAATGACAGCATGAACATTTTTCCCTTTATGTCTTTAATCTGGAAGACTCACCAAAGTGGAAAACATTTGTTGAGTCTACTGGGTTTTGAAGCATATTTTTCTGTAGGAGAATCTTCTCTGTGGTAAGAAGGGACAGTTTTAAGATCTACATTCATAAAACAAGCTGAAACAATTTCCAGAGTTATCCAATGTAGCCCATATTGAATGCATATCGAAAGAATGTGTTAAATATTGAATGAATTCATTACCAGCAATTAAGATGATGTTTTGTTTGCTCCCTAGTTATTTCATGACAGTTCTCTACACTCCATGTTATCATTAAAGTCCTCTGCCAGCCCACCTTCTGTAGAGCTGATATCTTCAGATAGGGCAGCACAAGCTTTAAACAAAGAACTCTGCTTTCAGTGGTACATCCCTCCCCTGGAAAGACCTCCAAAGGAAACAGAACCTATGGTATGTAATATAATTACAAAGCTAAACCTTACATTTATACATAAAGTTTAACTAGGCTATTATAAATTGAAGAGTAGAGAACATCTTCTTAGTATACAGACAAAAATATACAGCAATATAGAATCTATATTGTCTAATAGAATGAATCTGAAAATAAGAATGAAATCCTGAGAAGTCTGGTTTAAGTTGAAGGCATTTTCCTTTTACTTGATTCTTAAGGGAAACTTTTCAATGTGTCACCATTATATATGATATTTGAGGATTTTTTGTTGTTTTGTTTTCTTTTTTTGGTAGTTGTTCTTTATCACATTAAGGAAGTTTTTTTCTACTGCCACTTTGTTAACAATTTTTACCATGAACCTTTTACTGTATCAAAAAAGTTTTATGAGGGCTGGCCAAGTGGCTCAGTTGATTAAGAGTTGGCTAAGAGTGCGCGAGCTCTGAGCAACAGGGCCGCCAGTTCGATTCCCACATGGGCCAGCGATGCTGTGCCTGAGCTGAGCTGTCGCTGAGCTGCCAACAGGTGGCAGGATGGCTCAGCTGGTGTAACAACAACATTGCCTGTTGGATGGTGGGCTACGCCCACCCGCAGTTAAGACTGAACTCAGCACCTTGAGCTTAGAGGCCACGAGCTGCCGACAGGAAGCCAGATGCAACTGGCACCCTCCACAATGAAGACTGAAGAACAACAAGAACAACAACTTAGCTGGTCCCCTTCCCCAATTCCCCAACACTGTTCCCCTCCCCCAATTCCCCAATAAAATCTTAAAAAAAAAAGTTTTATGATTTTCCTTTTAATATGTTAATTGATTTTTTAAAATGTCAAATCAACCTTGCCTTCCTCAGATGACCTCAAATTGGTCATGATGTATTAATTTTACTGGATTCAGTTTACTAACGTTTTGTATTCGATTTTTGCCACTATTTTCAAGAGTAACATTGGCTATAAATTTTTCTTTTCATACTATTTTTGTCAGATTTTTTGTTTGTTTGTTTCAAGCTTTTTTTAGACTCATAAAATGAGTTGATAAATATAATCATGTTTTCCTATTCTTTGGTGAAGTTTGTAGTAACCTTTTTTCTTTGAATATTTGGTAAGAACTCATCAGTAAAGCTATCTGGTCCTAGTTTTTTTGTGTGAGAAAATACAAGGCTAGTGATAAAATTCTCAATAGTTAGAGGCAGTCTTTAAACATTAGTACTAATGTACTGGTTATCAGAGTTGATATCAGTTCTGATTGGGTCAATATCTCTTCTAATGGTTAGTAATCATGTCAAACCAAGTTTTAAATATTTTGACTATCACACCTGTTTATAAAACACTGGGGTTTTCTATTTCTTCTTAAGTCAGTTTTAAGTTGCTTTTTCTAGGAATCTTTCCATTTATTTAAAATTTCTCTCATTTTTAATTTGATATATTTGTAGTGAAGTGCTTCCTTTAATTCTTTATATTGGTTATTTGTATATTTTTTCTTGATCATTGTCACCAAAGGTTTCTTATTAGTTAGTTTTATTTCATTAATCAATATATCCTTCTTCTATTTTTCCCCCCTAACTACTGATTACTTGAGATAGATGTTTAGCTCAATATGTAGTCCTTTCTTTCCTAATGTATGCATTTTAAGTCTATAAATCTCTCTCTAAACATTGCTTTTGCTTCATCCCACCAGTTTTTATTATAGTATTGTCATCATCATGCATTTAAAGTAATTTTTAAATTTCTATTATGATTTCTTCTTTGACTCATGGGACATTTCAATATGTGTTTCTTAAATTTCAAATTATATAGAGCTTTTCCAGTTATCTTTTATATTTATTCCTAGATTATGTTGTTCTGTGGTAATAAACAATGCTCTGTATAATTGATATTTGTTGAAACTTGCTTTTTTTCTCCAGGAAAATGTTTATTGTGTAAATATTCCATTGCTATTAAAAAGAATGTGCACTCCAGGGCTGGCCGAGTGGCTCAGTTGGTTAAGAGCTCGCTCAAGAGTGCGAGCTCTGAGCAACAGTGGTTCGATGCCTGGCCCGAGCTGAGCTGCCGCTGAGCTGCCGACAGGTGGCAGGATGGCTCAGCTAAAAAAAGAAAAGAAAAGGAATGTGCACTCCTGTTGTTGAGGCTGTGTTCATATATGCATAATAGGTCAGTTTGGTTAGTCTTGTTCACATCTTCTGTATTCTTGCTGATTTTTCTGTTTTTGTTTGACTTTTTATTTTTTTAATCAATTACTAAAAGAAGTATGTTTAAATCTCTCAGTAACTATTATTGTTTAGTTTTTCCTTGTAGTTCAGTCAAATTTTGCTTTACATAATTTGAGGCTATATTCCTAGGTGCAATCAGATTGATAACTGTTGTATCTTTGTAATGAACTGAGAATTTTCTCATTGTGAAGTGACTCATAGCCTTTTTGTAGTAATGCCTTTTTTCCTCATCAAGTCTGTTTGTTTGATATTACTAGAGGAAAATGACTTTCTTGTGGTTATTTTCAGTTATCTTTTTCCAGCCTTTCTCTTTCAACTCTTTTGTATACTTGTGAATTTTTTTAATAAAAGGTATGCATTGGATATTTTAAAAGACAATCTGACAATATTGTATTTTGATGGTAGAATTTAATACATTTATATTTAAAGTAAATACTAATATATTTTGTTTTGTATCTTACCATGTTATTTTGTATTTTTATGTGTTTCAGCTTTTCTGTTTTTTTTTCTTTCTTTCCTTCTTTTGGATTGATTATTTTTATCATTTATTTATTCATCTATGAGTTTTGAAATTAAACAGTTTTCCTGTGCTTTTAGTGCCCACCTGCAGGACAACATACATACTTATCATAGTCTAAAATTAATTAATATCTTTATTCCCCTAATGACGTACATGATATTACTGTACATTTTCTTTTTAACCCAAAATAATANTTTTTCTTTTTGGTGAGAACATTTAAGCTCACCTTTAAGTTTTAAGCTCACACTTAAGTATCACCTTTTCTTGGTGAGAACAGTCCAGTTCACCTTTAAACCATACCCCAAATTATCTCTTTAAAGCAATCTGATCATTATTCCCTCAGCCCAGTGACTGTTTCCTACACAACAAAATCCAAATTCCTTGCCTTCCCCTGTCCTGTCCTAAGTTTGCCTCTCCAGCTTTGTTTCCCACCACCCCCATTGCCATGCCTCCTGTACAAGCCCGCAGTACACAGCATACCAGATCCCTGTGTGTCTTGAGTGCCCACTGTTTTGTTGCTTACCGGGTCCTTGTCCCCCTTCTCTGCTACCTGGAATCCTACTATTCTGTCAATGCTCACGTCACAGGACCCTTTCTCCGGGACAAGACGTTCATCGTCCTTACACTTACTCTCGCCCACCTCTAGGCTCCTATAGCATGTCACAGCGATGAGATTCTGATCTGACCACATTCTCCTTGGTACTTTATTTAGATGTGATGGCATCTATTGGGTCGTCAGAAAAGTCATGACTCATTTTTGCATAAAAAAACGTAGAAAAAACAATGTCATGGCTTTTCTGACGGCCCAATATTTTTCTCAATTATTATAAACTTTAGGGGGAATAGGGCCCATTTCTTTATCTTTGTGTTCCACAGTACATAATACAATGCTTTAAATCTGTTTGTTAAATGGAAGTAAATTAGCTATAGCTTTGGAACTCTAAAATTTGATCTTTTCTGTTTATGCATTTATTAAAACTTGGACATAACATAGTTTGGGGCTGTGAGTTCAATAGTTTACTTTTTTTATTTTTAAGGATTTAACCAGCATTGATCAGTTATAATGTAAAAATGAATGGACTTTTCTCATGTTAGTATTTCTGACTGCCAGTACATGCTACCACAAAAGCAAATTGTTGCTTCTTTCAGGATGGATATTGGCNATGGAAGTAAGTTATTAATTAATGGACAATTCCATTGCTATTGCAGGATGGATGTCGTTGTACATCAACACTTATTTTTTCCTTCATCAGAGCAGAACTATGTAGCTAAACTTGAAGTTTGTGGCTCTTCTGTCCTCGATTTTCTCTATGGAGAATCCCAGATAAGACCCACCTTTTGCACACATAAGTAGTGCTTCCTTCAAAGCTCTCTGAAGCGTACCAATTATAAGAATTCGATGGTGGATGAAAACAGAGCCAATCTAGAGAAATCATTCAGCTGTAACTAAGTCCCAAGAAACAATGCTCTGTAACTTCATTACATTGCTTTTAATTTCTCACTCTATTATTTGAGCATTTTTATTATCCAATTAATGTGTGAAGACAGAATGTCTTCAAATGGGAGAAAAACTAATACTTGTTTAGGTGCATTGTCAAACTAATTAGTTCATAACATTTGAAAGTAGAGAAATGGAAGGAATACAAAAAGTTTTCTTTTTCCCGGTATAGTAACCAGCAGTTAAGAGAATAAAGCAGCTAGATTCTGGGTTATATCAAAGAAATCCCATTGATGAAATTTACCAGAAGGTTGTCATGACAACCTTCACTTGGAGCTAATTAGAAGTTAACCAGGACACTTGAAGCGATCAATTCTGGTCAGGAATTGGACAGGATTTCATAACCTCTTTAACCTAATATATTTCTTTCTATCACAGTATAGATTTTTTGTGGGTTATTAAATATAAGGGTTCAGAAAAATGTGCCTTTGGTTAATATTGGGGGTTGTAAATCTGTTCTCTTTCTCAGTCCCTTCCTTTTGTTTTTTCTCACCTCCCCCACCCCTATTTCTATTGTCTGGAATAAGCCAAGAACTTCAGAACACAGATATTAATTTAGGAGCATTAGGAGGGTTACATAACAGGTGCTCTGATCACTTCTGGCTTGAAAACCTTCATGTCCTTTTAAAATGAACACCACCAGCCCAGAATGACT